TCTTTAAACTGAAATTTTAACTTAACTTGCCAGTTTGAATAACAGGTTTTGCACTGGTCAGACTAATCAAATTTAATGACACAGACTCCCTCCAACAGATAAACTCTCTGTGTCTATATCATGGGTGAATCCTGGAGACTCTGTGACTCTGAGCTGTGAGGTTGAACATCCGCCTACAGGAACAAAGTTCTTCTGGTATAAAGCGGTACCCAAAATATCAGACCCCTTCTACACCTATCAGCTGCTGCCTGGCAGCTCCAATGGGACTGATGATAATTTCTACATTGTCCATGGACAGAATAACACAACAGGATATGTGTGTGAAGCAGGAAGAAGAGAAATAAAATATAGAGATCCAACTTTTGTCTGGTCTGCAGGTTAGTTTTCTCAGTGTCACCTCTAAGCAAGAAGAAAATGAATGGAATGAATTCAATAAAACTAAAGAAATGATTATGTGATATCAGTGGGTTCATTGTCAAGACACAAAAGAAAGATAGTGTTTATTGCAAGATTTATTTTAAATAGGAAATTAAAAACAGCTCTAAAAAAAAACTGATTAAAAAGAAAAGTTTATCTGAGAACAAAAGGATTATGGTATAGAAGGAGGATAATGTATGGAGGACCAGTCCTGCCATAGTAAAAAAGATAGATACAGAAATAATTGAAAGACTTATTTTTTTTTTTATAATAAAAATATTTTAGTTTTGTTTCATACAGATTTGTAATGACTGCAGTTTTTCCATTTTCCAAACAAACAAAACACATTGTTTAGGTTTTTGCTGAACCTATGTTTGGGTAATTTGCGGCCCTGTTAATGTTGAACTTAACTCTTAAGGAAGAAAAAAAAGTAATATATTATTTTTTTTATCATGTATTAAGCTTTGCTCTGTGCTCAGATGAAATGTCTTATTTATTTTCAGATCCTCATCCAACAGCGTCTCTCTCAGTGAGTCCTGACAGAGTTCAACACTTCAGATCTGACTCTGTGTCTCTGAGTTGTGAGGGAAACTCTACTAAATGGAGAGTGAAGAGGATTACAGAAACAGGCCACGTGTTAGATTGCTCCGTCTGGGGGATCATGAATGGATCCTCATGTACCATGAAGGGGATCTATTCTAATGATGGAGTGTACTGGTGTGAGTCTGAATCAGGAGAGTTCAGCAATGCTGTTAACATCACTGTACAGAGTAAGTAGTGATGTATAAAAGTCCTTTTGTATTGCATTAATTTCATATTTATGCAGAAGTGAGTTTCAAAT